GAGAGAGAGAAAGAAAGGGGTAGGAGAAGGTTTAGTAGTGGGCCCATGTTGAATATTAGATGGGTATGTATAGACCAATTTGTCCCTATTGAGTGGTCAAATATGTAGATATGACCACAATGTGTATACTTATTTTCTATGTTGTCATTAATGATTAACCATTACTTATTAAAGTTTGACTTGATCATGGTCATTGATGTGATGGATCCAATGGTCCAAATCATTATTATTTCTTTCATTGTGCTTTATTCTAATTTGGGCACACTTCTACACACACACATACACACACATACACACATATACACACACACTAATATATTTGATATATTTACTATTAGAGGTAATTATTAAAATTAGCCTATATAGAATATTAAAATATGTTTTTAGATATTTTTTGTAAATCTATATATATATAAAAAAGTTTGTTTATTTTTTAAATAGTAACTATTTTCCTCCAAAAAAAATCTAATTACTATTTTTGGAAATTAATTTAACAATTATGGTATATATTAAATGATCAATTATGAAAATTGAGGCTCATTATCTAAGGAAGTAATTAAGCCATGTTATAAGATACCCTCAAATCATATGAATTAATTAATGTATGGTATAAAGTGGACTGATTTATTTTTGATATTGATGGTTGTTACTATGAAAAATAAATTAATCAATATATGTATAAAGTGAGCAAATTTATTTAGGTTATTTGATGACTGTTTTTTAGTAGAAAAATAGTTGAAAAAATAATCCATATACGGTGTACTTTTTTCTGTAATACACATGCTAATATATTAATTTTTAGGCGTGTATTTCAATTTTTATTTTAATTTTTGTATGAAATTAAAATAATAGAATTATCGTAACTCCGACAAAATAATATGAACGGATATTTTGATATAATTTGCGTGTATCGATGTTTTTTTATAGAAAAAACTCAGGTCAATTTTTTTTTTCATTTGTAGAATTATTGGGTCTCAATTTAATTCATTTTATGTTACGACATTTCAAATACTTTTTGTGTGAATTGCACTGTTCATTTTTTTTTAGCATGATAAAGAGTTTCGATTTTTTTGACATAAAAAATCTTATGACTGATTGCTTTTACTCAACTACTTAAATTTCTTTATTTGGATATTTTATACAAAAATAAATTCATTTTACTTAATGAAACAATATAAGTTTTATATTTATACTTATTATTCACATAAGTTTTAAATATATGATGAAATTTTACCAATATGATTATTTTACAGAATCACGTTAAAGTCAAATCGAATTTCTGAATAAAACTTTTGAAATGACACATATATTGAAACCAATATAATGTAATTTATTATCAGTTATGTGCAACGCATGAGTTGTGTACTAATTTTAAAAATAGACATTTTTATGTAATTTTACACAATTTAATTTTTATAAAATATTTACAATAAATTAATATAGGTACATTGTATTACATATTGATTCCATGTTTTTTATTTTTAAATATTATTTAATAAAAGTTTTTAATTTATATATTAATGAAGATCTCTTTTTTTTTTTTTTCCAAACGACAATTAATATAAATGACAACTCGAATTATAGTTCATATAGGCATAATCAAATGATTATAACATGATCTAATCCACTAACAGCACCAAGATTAGAGCACACGGGAAAAATCAAGTTTCGCACTCGAGTGGTAAATCCACATACAAACAACATTACATCCCATCCGGGTTAATTACATTAAATGTGCAGCAAGGGATACTCATCACCAGGTCCAAGAGCTCTTCAGCCATATTCATCTTCAGTCAACCATATACTCCTTCTGTTCAGGTTTAAGCTTGTGCTCTGCAGCTCCACTTCACAGCAAACCTCTTCTCAACACTTTTCAATGCAGGTCTGAAGCATCCATTTAGTTCTCCTTAAGTCCATTATCTCTCTGTTGCTGTGAAGAGCTAATATGCCTGTCCATGACTTGATGATTTTGTCACTCTTAACAGCAGTTCCAATGACTTCCATATATTCCCCAACTGAGCTTGAAGCACTGACAGCCACCTTAACCTGCCCTACCTCACTGGAAAATTGCTCAGCTGAAACTATACCATTAAACTGCATCCCATCCATACTCCCCTCTCCACACCCTATTACAGATAAGTATTTTCCATCCAACCCTTCCTAGCCCTTTCAACCACTTCCAACTCAGAAATTCTCTTCTTCTCAAACACCCAACAATTTCTGGTTCTCCATAGCCACCAAAGTAGGTAAGTGGATATGCTTATTCTATCCTTGATAGCTATGTAAGTCCCTGGAGTTTGTCACCTCAACCCACCAATCCTGAAAAGTGCACACACCAGAATCCAGTTTTTTCCAACTTACCCCCAACAATCTCTAACATGTTCTTGCTCTTTGACACCTAAACAACATATGATCTACATCTTCCTGAGTTGCCCCACACCCTGTACAAATCACATCCACCTCTACTTTTCTTCTTCTCAGTTGGCAGTTAGTCCCCATGAATCCATGCCATAATCTCCATATGAAGTTTCTGATTTTGTTCTGAATTGGCAGCTTCCAAGTTCTGGACCACATTCTTTTATCTTGCATTTGCTTGTTACTAGACTCAACCTTGTCCTGAATTAGCCACTTTGCTTGAAGTAGCATTTCATAGCAGGATTTGACAGTGAAAACTCTAGTCTTAGTCCCTTGCCACACTAGCTTATCACTCTGTCCTCTGTTCAGAAGTGGTATTGAGTATGGCTGTTATCGAACCGAACTGAACCGAGCTTAAGGTGTTCGAGCTCGAGTTTGATTAATTTTCGAACATGTTCGTGTTCGTTCGATTAGTAAACGAACAAAAAATTTTGTTCGTGTTCGTTCGTTTATTGGTTCGACACGTTCGTGTTTGTTCGTTTATCTAGTCGAACATGTTCGTGAATTGTTCGAATTGTTCGACAAGTTCATGTTCGAGTTGTTTGACATGTTCGTGTTCGTGTTTTTTAACTTTTTTTTTTATTTTAATGTCATACAATATATTATTTATTATTTAATATCTATTCATATTTATATGTTATATTATATATGTATATACTATATATAATATATAGAATTATAAAATATTTGTGTTTTATTTAATATTTAATATATATTCATATTTATATATTATATTATACATGTATATACTATATATAATATATAAAATTATAAAATATTTTTTTTGTTCGCGAACGCTCGATTAGTTCGCGAACATGTTCGTGTTCGTTCGATAACTAAACGAGCGTAATGTGTTCGGTTCGAATGCTAAACAAACGAGCTGTTATCAAACACAAACGAACTCGAACGAGCTTTGTTCGCGAACGTTCGGTTCGAAAAACAGCCCTAGTATTGAGAGAATTTTACCTGCCATGAAAGGATTAAAAGACTGATAAATTAGATCCTCATCCCACCCACTCCCAGTTATGCTCAACAAATCACTCACCCCTTTCAAATGAGATCTATCCCTCTGAAACTGACAAACAGGTTTTTTTCCCTTAACACTAGTACAGAGCCCGTGCGATGCACGGGGTGCACAATTTTAAGGCTATTTATCCAGACTTATAATTATATACATGAATACAGAAAAATGTACGGGATATATATAGTACGTGATCCCTGCGAGGCACGGGATATATTTATTTGAGGAATACTATATTATAAGATGCAATATTCAATAAAAGTTTTATAATACGCAGGAAAATTATACAATAAGATAGTATTGGACAAACAAACAATCATATATTATTAAAGACCACCTTGTACACAACATTATGAGTTTGATTTTCCATACAATAATAATAAGATTTTTTGTAAAAAGATAAGAAGGAATTTTCAATCTACACAAACTTTAAACATTAGATGTATTTACGTAAATCAATGACTATATAGACAACTAAACCCTTCAAGTTAGGTTTGACATCTACTTTATTATGGGTGACGTAAAATAAGGATTTAATTTTGACCGATTAAATCTTTATTCATAGGCTTGACATATAAAACTGATTTGATGGGATTTTCTTAACTAAACCGATGCTATGGGATAAAACAAATCTATACTTACCTTTGACTTTTCCAGCAAAGGTAAAAAAATCGGTTCTAATTTTTATCCCATAACATATCTTCAATGTCAAGCCTATAAATACCAAAACAAATCTGTAATTAATATCATTCTATTTCCAGCAAGCATTAATTACCTTTGACTTTTCTACCTACTATTTCTAGTAAATAGAATGACTTTTTATAAGTATAGATTTCATATAATGCAAAGACTGAGATCATAAAAAAAGAATCCTAAAAACTGAATATAAAGAATAACAGTAGCATGATGTGGACCAGCTTTACAAAACAATAACGCATCATGTGCAAAGAAAAGGTGTGAGACAGGAGGAGAAAATCTACTAATTTTGACACCTACAAAATACCTCTGAATGCAAGCATGCCTAATTAGATTAGAGAGGGCTTCTGATAAGATGATGAATAGATAAGGGGACAGGAGGTCCCCTTGTCTAGTACCCCTAGTAGGCTTCACAAATCCAATAACATGGCCCTCAATATTGAAAGAGAAAGATGCAGAGCTCACACATTCAAGCACCCAATTGACAAAGACACTATCAAACCCCATTTGCCTACAAACTCTAATAAGAAAAGCCCACTCCACCCTGTCATAAGCTTTGGCCATGTCCAACTTGACTGCCATAAACTTATCTTTCCCCTTTCTTTTACTATTTAAGAAATGGATACACTCGTTAGCCACCACTACATTGTCTAAAATCTGTCTCCCCGAAATAAAGGCAAATTAGTTAGGGGACACACACAAGTTAAGGACAGTCTTCAGCCTGTTAGCTATGATCTTGGTAATAACCTTATATACCACAGAACATAGACTAATAGGTCTAAAGTTTGACACTTTAGAACGGTCTAAAGTCTCTTAGATGCACGAGATTCTTTTTAGTCTTGATTGATAAAGAAATTAATTTATAAATTTTCTCACCAAACATTCTAGCAATAATTGGACCAATAGTAACACCTACTCACCTGGGATTAATATAATGTAGTGTACAACTTGTTAAAGCATCCATCACATTGTCCACTGCTAAACGGAGTGGTACGGTACACTTGAGAGTGAGCGGGGCCGCCAACCGACGGAAAATGTGCTGGGCTCCTGCGATTATTATTCCCAATCTCAAATCCAAAATAAAATAAAAAACAGATAAAACTTTCTCCCATCCAAATCACTCCTTCAACAAACGGCCCAAATCGACCAGGTTCTCGTTTTTCGTTTGTCATTATCAGTTCTTTTAATATCTTGTTGGACAATTACTTCCTAATACTGTGTTTCGGTTGGTCGGTGTTCATTGGTTGCTTTTGGTTGCAGTTTTCTGTTGTGTTGTGTTCTCTGTTATCAATTAGATTGTGGCACAATATTTGATTTGGTTTTGGAGATTGGATTCGCTTTCCCGTTTATTTGGATTCTCTGTTATCAATCTTTTTGTGGTACTGTTTGATGTTCGTCAGGGGATTTACAGAGCCGGGAAGATATGTTTGGAATTCTAAGGCAAAGAGCAGCGTGCAGAGGCAACCCTGCTAATGTGAATCTCGGCTTTTTATTTCTTGATTTGACTATTATCTGTTTGTAATGTGAATGGTTGATCCTTTATGTTTTGACAATTGACTTGAAAAGGGTCTCGAGCAAGGAATTCGAGTAATTTTTATATGTTGCTTTGACTATTATCTGTTTGTAATGTGAATGGTTAATCTGTTATGTTTGGACAATTGACTTGAAAAGGGTCTCGAGCAAGGAATTCGAGTAATTGCATCCCGGGCATTTTCTTCCTCAGCTAAGGAGGTAACATCTACCCTTATTTTTGTAATAAAATTGCGTGTTTGATGAAGCCTTGATGTATCGAAAATTATACTTCATGAATCTTTGGGCTTGGAGTTTTTGCTGTAAGGTTGTTTCACCCGTTTCCGAGGTTTTAAGATATTAACCATTACACAGAGAAGTCGGTTATAAATACTCCTATGTGATTACCAGTTTTTCATGTGTACAAAGTTTGATGAACAGAGACTGGATTGGTCGAAGCTAAACGATACTATTTCCATTTCTTGCAGATGACTGTGCGTGATGCATTAAACTCAGCACTTGATGAAGAGATGTCTGCTGATCCAAAAGTCTTTTTAATGGGTGAAGAGGTATCATTACTATGGTTTGTTATTTATGAAATGAAAAAACATTTCTAATTTCTATTTTGGCAATTGGTTCTCTGCATGTTTATGATATTTTGTTGACTAAATTATTGTTATGCAGGTTGGTGAATATCAGGGTGCATATAAGGTGAGTGTTAGTTCAGATGTCAATTCTATTAATTGTGGTTGTTGTTGTTTTTCTAACTGTTCCCTATTAATATATCACGTTCTAGATTTCCAAAGGGCTTTTGGAGAAGTATGGTCCTGAGAGAGTGCTTGATACACCCATAACAGAGGTTGGGATTTTCCTGTTTTATTGGTTAAATTAATAAAATTTTGAAAGTTTTCTCAACCATGTAACTGCTACAGGCAGGGTTTGCTGGAATTGGAGTTGGTGCAGCGTATTATGGCCTAAGGCCTGTAATAGAGTTTATGACGTTTAACTTCTCAATGCAGGTTAGAGTTCTTCCCTGCACCAATATTTTCTCTGTCCCTGAGTTTCCTCATTATTAATCGTTTTATAGGATACATCCTTGGAAGTTTTTCTAGCTGTTAATAGAAACCTTGATACATTTTCTGCTGATGTTCTTAGGTCTCTTTATGAATGAACACCTTACTGCCGGCGCTCTACTTTTGCTCTTGTATCCATTATCTTCCAGTCTGCTTTAAGCTATAGCGTGTAGCATCAAAATGGTCAAAGACTGTATAACCTTTAATTGGGATATTGAGCATTGGAAATATGACTCCAGTTGTGTATTTTATTGTCATGTTTTTTTTTGTTTTTCAACTGTTAACTATGTCTATTTACACCCATCACATAATTACTATGAAATTACTTCAAATTTTTACCTCAGATGAACAGTGGATCGAGAAATAATTTTTCTTAATTGATCAACTTTGTCATAATAATACATCATATTTGTTACCATTCTTATCTTAGTTTCATTATAATTGTTAGCTTTGATTTCAAACTGATTGAATTTGAAGGGTATATCTAACAATCTAACTGACAATTTTAGGTGTCTTAGCTCAGCGAAGTTAGCTGTCATAGTTATTTGAAGGGTATATCTAACAATCTAACTGACAATTTTAGGTGTCTTAGCTCAGCGAAGTTAGCTGTCATAGTTTCACTATGAAAAGTGATTTGAATTACAAATTAATCAGCCCTTTTAACCCATTGAGTCACTAATGTTGGAGTTCAGTATGCAATTTGACACTGAGGTTCAATTGCTTGTTGCATCTTAACTTTTTTAATTCCATTGTTATGGATGTAGCCTGTAGGAGCTTATATAACGCTTATTTAATGGTGGAATGTGGACTTGGATCAAGGTTATTTGGAATGAGTTTGAATGATAGCAATACTTTTTACCTCAGCTTAAATCTCCTGAAATAAATAAATACACAAACTAAACACACTCCCGACATAAACATATTGTTAAACCATACTATACATTAAGTGAATGAGTTAACTGATATGTCATTGCTGCAGGCCATTGATCACATCATTAATTCTGCTGCAAAATCAAATTACATGTCTGCTGGTCAGATATCAGTGCCGATTGTCTTCAGAGGCCCGAATGGTGCTGCTGCTGGTGTTGGTGCTCAACATTCTCAGGTATGAATATGTACTTGTATTCATTCATAACTTGATACTGTCTTTCTTTTTCCATATACTCAGAGGGCAATGGCACCCAATTCTACAACATATTAGAATTTCTAGCAATGTTAATTGAGTTTCTATTCTTTGCAGTGCTACGCAGCATGGTATAGTTCATGTCCGGGGTTAAAGGTGCTGGCACCATATTCATCTGAAGATGCTCGTGGTCTGCTTAAAGCTGCAATAAGGGATCCGGATCCTGTCGTCTTCCTTGAAAATGAATTGCTGTAAGTACTATTACTGTAATCTTTATAAATTTGGTGAAGGTCTTAGATCATATATTGTTTATATCTTTGAATGTATATACTTCTTTGTGCAGGTATGGTGAAGCCTTTCCTGTTTCAGCTGAAGCTCTTGATTCTAGTTTCTGTCTTCCTATTGGCAAAGCAAAGGTATATCCTCGTAGTTTGCAGTTGCATCCAAATGTTAACTGATTTTTTGTTTTTCAATTTCCTTCGCAGATAGAACGCACAGGAAATGATGTAACTATCACTGCTTTCTCAAAGATGGTTGGCTATGCTCTTCAGGTCTGCTTTCTATCTGTGAATTGGGGACAACTGAGATTAGGTTTCCTTTTTCTATTTTTGTTATTAATTGTTATTTTTTTTCAGTGACTTGGTCTTTTTCACTTACATTGGTATCACAGTCCTTTGAGAATTCAGAACTGGATTTTGGTACATACTGTGTTCCAAAGTACTTTTGAAGTTACCCAGAAATTGTTAACAGAAACCTGAAACATAAAACTGTGAGGCTACTTAGCCTTGCACATAGTTTTGGCTGTGTATCACAATTGCTAAAACAGAATTAGGTTTTAATGTCATCATTGCCATTTGTTACCATGTGTTGTCTTAAATTGGTGCACTGTCGAATAAGAAATTCATGCCTCATTTCAATCAAATTTGCTTTGTTTTTGCCTACTTACCTACATATAAGTCAAGAAAATCACAAACTAAAGCTCAACCCAACCCTTTGAACATACTGCACCCCAGGTGGCAAAGAGCCGACATCGAGGTGCCAAACCTTCCTGTCAATGTGAGCTATTGGTGTATTTAGCACGTTTGGATGATCAATTTAGTGTAGTTGGTGGAACTTGACCAAGTCTGTCCCATATTTATCGGATATCAGATAGAAGTTATCTGCAAAGTTGCAATCTAATTTATTTATTTTTTTCTTAATGAATATGTACAGGCTGCTGAGGTTCTTGCAAAAGATGGAATCAGTGCCGAGGTAACTCTAAATAATCAGTCGATTCACACAATTCATTATGAGTTAAGGTAGGGATGTTGGTTTTATTCGGTTTCCTTTTTTTCATGCAGGTGATAAATCTTCGGTCAATCCGCCCTCTTGATAGAGCCACAATAAATGCTTCTATTAGGAAAACCAATAGACTTGTGACCTTAGAGGAGGGATTCCCTCAACATGGTGTTGGCGCTGAGATCTGGTCGCTCTCTCTCTCTCTCTCTCTCCCTCTCTCTCTCTCTCTCTCTCTCTCTCTCTACTTACTATACATGTTTAAGTTTTGATTATTTATTGACTCTCTCCGCTTATTATGAAAACTTATTTTTATTTATTTTTTAACAATCTGTTGGTTCTCTCAGTGCATCTGTTGTTGAAGACAGTTTTGAGTATCTTGATGCCGCTGTTGAGAGAATTTGTGGTGCTGATGTACCTATGCCCTATGCTGCAAATCTTGAGAGGATGGCTGTCCCACAGGTTAGTTCTTCCGTACTTTCTTCTCAGCTTTATAAGGATAAGGGTATTGGCTGAGTACAACTAGCTGTGGTGTCATTTATAGTAATGCTGAGACTGTAATTACCTGAGAAGTTTCTCATGGGCACTTGACTCTGAATGTGTCATGAGCTATAGTTTGTGACAACTACAGGCCCAAAATCACAGGGGTTTGATTGGTATGGCAGTTGACCCTAGATGAGTTCTTATATCAGTATATGAACCACCAAGTTTGGTCTTGTTTCTCCAATCCAGCACGTCTTGCTTTTCCCTTTTATTTTAATTATTTAAAATTTT